GAGCAAATTTCCTGATTTAATTGTAAGTTCTACATCAATGACAATAAAGGCACATTCCTTTTTGGTAGTAAAATGAAATGATTATTTATTTAACATATTTGCAATAATTAGTGGGTATCTGTATTTGTACCTTGTATCTAAACATTGTATGAATGTGCCTTGTTGGCATGCCCAAAATGCAAACTGAAAAGGTTCATAATTCTGCACCACAAACCAATGGTTGACGTCAATGTGGCTATGAATTTTATATGCCATTTATCTAAATACCCAAATAAAAGAGGGCTTATTATGGCTGCATCATCAAATACCACTTAAGTAGTTAATTAATGTGTATATAAAGCTACATATCAAGAAAGTCATCCTCTGGTCATCCACTAAAGATAAGCCGAACCCTAACCTCAGACCCTCCAGTGTACAGTGTAGACTCTCCAATCCCACAGACAGCAGCTTCACTCCAGAATCCCACAGGTCATTGTTACTCAGGTCCAGTTCTCTTAGATTAGTCGACCGTGAGCTGATGACTGATAACATAGCTCCACAACTTCTTTCTGACAGATTGCAGCCACTTAGCCTGGAGAACAGATAAAGACACACAGTGAAACTGATTCTATGATAGACAGTGTAAAACGCTGTTAGGTTATTTCAGTTAAAGTTTTCATGAGGAAAAAAAGATGGTAGCTGAGTAGTGGTTTTATGGTGCTTTTTCACAGGATAATCTCAGCTATAATTCAAATATTAAACTTAAAGTAAGCTTTATACTAAATCTAAAGCCATAATTAATGTTAGCATGTAGTTGTATGAAGATCTGCTGACTGAGAATTACTAGTTGATAACAGCCCTGTGTCACAGTTATTTGTGCACTCACAGAGCTCTGTGGGAGGCTTTTACAACTGGCAACAGCCTCAGAAGAGCCTCCTCTGAAGCAGAGTATTTCTTCAGGTCAAACACATCCAAATCTTTTTCTGATGACAGTAAGATGAAGACCAGAGCTGACCACTGAGCAGGAGACAGTTTATCTGTGGAGAGACTTCCTGAACTCAGGGACTGCTGGATCTCCTCCACCAGAGAACGATCATTTAGCTCATTCAGACAGTGGAACAGATTGATGCATCTGTCTGGAGACAGATTCTCACTGAGCTTCGTCTTGATGTATTGGACTGTTTTCTGATTGGTCTCTGTGCCACTGTCTTTCTTCATTAGCAGGTCCTGCAGTTTATTCTGATTGGTCTGCAGTGATAGACCCAGGAGGAAGCGAAGGAATAAGTCCAGGTGTCCATTTGGACTCTGCAAGGCCCTGTCAATGGAAATCATGTGGATCTTCTTTGAAGATGTCTTACTTAAAAGCAGTCGAAGGTTTTTCAGTGATGGTTGTGGTAAAGGCATGACATTTATTTTGCTGTTATTAAGTGACATCCTTACATAAAGAGCAGCCAGAAACTCCTGAACACTCAGATGGACAAAGCTGAACATCTCGTCTTTCCCTTTCCTTCCTCGCTCTTCTTTGAAGATCTCTGTGAACACTCCTGAACATACCGAGGCTTCACTGAAATCAATGCCGCTCTGTCTCAGATCTTTCTCATAGAAGATCAGGTTGCCCTTGTCCAGTTGCTGAAAGGCCAGTTTTGCTAATGACTTAATGTATTCAATGCTTTTCTGTGGGCCATACTTTTCTTTTGTCCAATCAATCTGAAACACCAGGAACTCTGCGTACATCTCAGTCAGGGTCTTGGGCAGCTGTCCTCCTCTTGTTTTCAGCACATCTTCTAGAACAGTAGCAGTGATCCAGCAGAAGACTGGGATGTGGCACATGATGTGGAGGCTTCCTGTTGTCTTGATGTGGGAGATGATTTTGTCAGCTTGCTCCCTACCTTTGAATCTCTTCCTGAAGTACTCATCTTTCTGTGGGTCAGTGAACCCTCTGACCTCTGTGGTACTGCTGATAAACTCTCGAGGGATCTGATTGGCTGCTGCAGGCCGTGTGGTTATCCAGATGCGAGCAGAGCGTAGCAATTTTCCATTGATGAGTTTTTTCAACAAGACATCTGTTTTAGTTGACTTTGTTACATCGACAGAGCGAATATCTTCAGAATGAAAGTCGAGATGAAGGCGGCTCTCATCCAGCCCATCAAGCACAAACAGAAGTTTGAATTTACTTTTGTCATAGTTGGTAATTCCCGATGACTGAATATCTTTAAAGATGTAATTAAGAGCCTCCTCTGTGATGCCTACAGTTTCTGGGATGCATTCATGAATGAGCTCTGCCAAACTGAATTTTTCTCCCTTCAGTGGACTCAGCTGACGGAAGGTGAAGGGGAAAACCAGATGCACATCTTGATTGGATCTTTGTTCAGCCCAGTCCAACACAAACTTGTGAACAAGGAATGTTTTTCCAATTCCTGCGATTCCATTGGTCATCACTGTTTTAATGGGTCTGTATTCTCCAGAAGGATGTTTGAATATGTCTGTAGGTTTAACGGCTTTCTCTGTTTCTTCTGGCTTCCATGCCTTTTCAATCTGCCGGACCTCATGCTGTA